ATTAAAAAAACATTTGTTGTTAATTAGAAACTTAAATGCGCCAGGAAAATAAGTTTTTCTCAAATTTTCCCCTTAAATGAAATTTATTTAATGTTAATTTTTGTTTTTATTTTATGTCATTCGATATTTTTTTAAGTCAAATTAGTTGTGAAAACACATAATGGAAATTTTATAGATTGGTAAATGCTCAATTTTGGTTCTGTGACGATGATTTTTGTAGAGTAGTAATGAAGATTACAATTGCAAAGTATTAAATAGATCTGCATAAACATTAGGGGCTCTCTAAGGCAAATTTTAAATTTTTTGACAAAGTAACTTTTCTCAGTAAATTGTTTTGATAATTTAATTAAAAATGCTGTGAGTTGTATAAATTTTTGTTTAGAAAAAGAATCATTCTTTAGATTCCTGTTATTTTTTGTAAATATGAACCTGTAGTTGTACTTGATTTTTATTGCTGAATTAATTATTGAAGAGTCAATATTACATGGTGCTGTAGCAAGGATTTCAAAATATTAAAAAAAATCTTTTAATTATAAAAGTAATAAACTAATCGGGACCTGGCAAACATTAAGGCCGAAAACTTTATAAAACAAAAATCCTCAAATGATAAAAAAAGTCCTGGCCTTAGGTTATTGTTTGATTCTTTCACGTTCGGAATTCTGAAAAAGCTCAAAATTTTAGCCCATTTAATCCCTTTTTTTTAAAATAAGGAGGTGTTTTATTAATAAAATGCTATTGTTTCCAAAGCCTATCATACGATTGAGAAAAATTATATCAAATGTTGTTTTTTAATCATTTGTTCGTATATTGCATTTCAATAGTTCCTTTGTTAACCATTTTCTCTCTTTTATTTTAATGAATACGCATTGCGTTAATTGTAAATTCAATGAAATAAACTAAAGTACAGCCTTAAATCATACATAGTTGCCAAAAATCAAAATTTAACAAATTTTAGGTAATTTTTTTTAAAATTTAAAATTTTATGTTTTTTTAAAATTTAATGTTGAATGATGTGTGAAACAAAACAACACGTTTTTCATATTAATTATTCATATTTTTATCATATATGACTTTTTCCTCTAGTGATAGTAGAATTAATAAGAGGTTAATATAAAAAGTTTGGTGAGGTAACAATGCTGGAACAATTTAATTATCAGTTTAAATCAGGAAAAAAGCCCTAACCTTTTTATCTACGGATTAGTTAATAAAAATTTAAAATTCTGATATTTTTCACTGCACTTGTATTAGAGTTTCAATTTTTTTTTAATTTTCTCAATCCTAATTCTAAATTGATTTTGTCACCAGATTAAATCAAAAGAAGAATTTCATCTTTTTTATCTTTTATTGATTCATGAAAATTGTTTATTTCATTTTTCCAAATCTTGAATGTTAAATAAATATAATTACCCTTTCAATAAAGACAAGTTTTGAGGTCCAGAAGTTTTTACATTTTTCCTATCCTGATTCATCAAATTGGAAAATTAGTAAACCGTCATAAGTATTTATTTTAATTAAGTTTAAATAAATTTCTGTAATAAGATTTATTTTGGCTCCTGGTTAAGAAAAAATCGCTGATGATTTATGGTCTATCTGTAACAGAGAGTTTATCTGTAAGATCTGTAACAAAATTCATAAACAAACTTAAAAAAAATCTCACAATTTTTTATCTACAGATTTTTGGAATTTGTTTATTTCTTCCAATTTTCACTGTTCAATATTAATATTTTTGCGCTTTCAATAAATAAAAGTTTGAAGTCCAGTTTTTTGAATTTTTTTTATGATTCGCCCAATTGCAAAATTAGAAAAGCATTAAAAGTATTTATTTTTCTTTAAGTTTAAACAAATTACTATGATAAGATTTATTTTAGCTTCCAGTTAAAAAAATTCGCTGGTCATTTATTGTCTACCTGTAACAGAGAGTTAGCTTGTTAGATCTATAGCAGAATTCATAAGGAAATTAAAATAAAAATTTCCTCACCATATTTCATCGACCGATTCATCGAAATTATTTATTTTTTCCAATTCTAAATGTTAAATATATCAATTTTACTGCCTTTTCAAAGAAAGAAAGTTTGAAGTCCAGTTTTTGAAACTTACTTTATTTTTTCTATCATCATTCGCCCAATTTCAAAATTATAATAGTGTTATAAGTATTTATTTTACTTTAAACAAAATTCCATAATAATATTTGTATCACATATCATTTCAGACGTAACAGGAAGTTTGTTAGATCTATAACAGAGTTTAAATGTAAACAAATGACAATTGGATGATTCACATATACTTAAGGTCAACAAAATATTTCAGTTGCTTTTTAATTAATTGTGATACAGTGATGCCACCATATTACATAATCGAGTACAATTAATCTTTTCAGAAAAAAGGGAAGTTTTTTCTTTCAGAACAATAGTTAACAATTTTTCTACATATTTCACAATATTTCCTAATACACCTGTAAAGTTTCGTGACAAAACATATATTTTTTTTAACTCATAAAACAGTTGAGAAAACAAAACATTTCCCGTAATTCTGTTATTTAACGTTCTTTTTAACTTTAAGCGGAAGTGCTGAAGGTCATTGGAACAAGAACCATAAAAATGAAAGAACCCCATCTGCTTATGCATTTATTTGCGTTAACCCCTTATTCGAACAAAACAAGCAGACGATTCTTCGCTATGATATTCGAATCTGGATAGATGACCAATCTGCGTGTTCGAAAGACAATTGTGAGTTCCGAAAAGGACATCACGTTAAAGCAACTTATAAATGATGCGCATATACGTTACAAAGACGTACAGGAATGTAGTCTTACACGCCATGTTGCGTGGTACACAGTTGTTTGGCAGTACCCCTTTTATTCTGCGATGATAGTTTATCTTAGTTTTTACTTTTTATTTTGATATGTGTCGAGTTTAATCATCGTCTGAAATCGAAGATCGAGAACAATTTCACCACTTTTTTCTAGTGTACATTTAAAAGACACCGTATTCTGAATAAATTGATTCTATTCATGCAAATTGTGTCAGAACAAATGATGTTCTGTTAACAAACGATTCTTTTAATCGTCACGATTTATTTAATTTGCGTATTAAGATAAATATCTAAGTTTTTATCAGTTTGTGTTATCTGCTAGTTGCTAAAAGAGACTGATCTGTTCTTTTCAACTTGTTGGGCAAAACTATCCTACAGAAGGCAATTTATTCTATCATTAAAATTCATCCTTAACTATGTTATAAATTAAATAATTACATTATTATTAATATATATTATTATAGATGTAGAACATATTTTGTGCATTTTGAACCGCTGCATTTTGAACTTTTTTTAATCATGATGACTGAAGAGCTTTTAGGTCTTCAGCCGCCAAAGTTGAATTTGTCTTGCCATATATAAAGTTGTGGTATGTTCTAAGACACACGAAATGGATGCAGTTTTTTCCAGAAATTGGTTTGGTACTCTTACTGTAGTGTCATTTTAAACTGTCTTTATTTTTAATTTTCAGTCGTTTGTTTTTATCATTGTATAAGTCCATCTTTATGCAATAGCATCCTTTATTGTAGTTTTTCTGAAAAAATCACTGAATCGATTTTCAAATTTTTTTTTGTTTCCTTCTTTTTATGACGAACATTTTAATAGGGTCATAAATGTTTCATTTAAGTAATTAATACGTTAGTTTCGTTTAATCGTTGATGTTTCATTTGCGATTTGGGTTTGTTAAGATTCAGATAAAAATTTTAGTTATGACTTATATCATTGTGATAATTGAATTCTGATAATTGAACACTTTGGTAATGTTTTCAAAGTTTTAAAATTTTATTTAATGAAATGATTAATAATAATCTTTAATTCTGTTGAATAAAATTAAAATTTTAATACCTAGCGATATTTCATTTCTTTTGTTTGTTTGTTGTGTTTAAAATTGAGATCATAAAGGATGATTCGATGCATGGTCTTTTGTTACAATTTTTACTATCGTAGATTATTAAGAATTTTTTTTTGAGATTAATAATTTCAGAGTCATGATGACGGGAAAGGTTTATTTTGATACAAGTACTATCGATTCCTTAGAATAATGTCGGAAACTGTAGAAGGAGTATCTGAAACAAGAAGCATTGGATCGATGTTGAAACATAATATTGAAGCAACTTTCCTGCAGTTCTTTGTCAAATTTCTTTTAAGTTCTCTTTCAAGTTTAATAAGAGTACCCGGCAACATCAATTCATCATCACATTGAAGTTTCAACAAAATTTAGTGATAGTACATTCATTCATTATGCTCGAAACTTCTAACAGAATAGTCATACGATTCAGAGAGAATGAAACATTCAGAGAGAATTAGCAATTTTAAACAATTTTCATCACAAACTAAATTTTGCACCAAATTATGAAATATTCGACGAAATTGACGATTATGATGCAATGAATTATCTGTTTTTCTCAAAATGCTTAGTACAAGTATGCGTTTAGTTAGTACTAGATAAGTAAAATTTATAAAATTTTAGACAAGTAGAAGATATAAAATGATATAAGATTTATCCTTGTTTTAAACAGGAAGGCACACTGAGAAGAAAAGCGTGGTCAAAACTACCAGAATATTGCAGAATTTATCCGGTTTCTGACTCATTGGGAAAACCGAAAAGCTTCGTATTTTTCTCCAAAGCCCTTTGGTTCTTATTTTGGTAAAAATAACAATAAAATATGGTTTTATAGTGTGTGATAAAATTTGGTAAATGAGTTAAATTTTAGCATTTTTATCTTGCTAACATAGAGCATACCACAAAAACCATTCATTCGGTTCAATTAACTTTCGGTTTTGTATTTTTTACTAAATGTGTGGTAAAAAGAACCGTACTTTTGAAAACCAGAATTTTCTGTAAATCGTTATTATATAAACGGAAAAATTACCAAATACATATTTTAAATTTTTCTGGTATCCATTTCCATACGGAGCTGTTGTACCCGGCCCATAAAAGTAAAGACAACCCAGAATTTATGAGACAAATGGCTCTTGAAACTATTAGCCAAATACCATCAGATGCTTTACAACTATACACAGATGGCAGCAAGAGCGACGAAGGTCATTCAGGTAGTGGGGTTTTTATTAAAACACCCACGTACACATTGAGTCTCAAATTTAGAAATTCAGAATTTTGCTCAGTTTTCAGATCTGAGCTTATTGCGATTGAAAATGGCCTAAGACATGTTGAGAGTATTGCTGAGCCTGACTTTAAACATATTTGGATACTGACAGATAGCAAATCTTCAATCCAACACCTTAGCAATTGGATGAATGTTGGAGACATGGCTGCGGCTTCAATTTTGGGGGTGCTCTTCAGGCTCTCTGCGGACTTTGGAGTACACTTCCAATGGATTCCATCACACGTTGGAATCAAAGGTAACGAGATGGCGGACTCACTGGTTAAAGATGCTTCTTTGGAACCTTTACAGCCGGATCTACCTTCCACTTTCAACGAGGTCTTTGCAGAGTGCAAAAAAATGTTTATGGACCTCTGGAGGGTTCCTCCTCCGCATAGTTGATATTTCAGAAAACGACCTGGAAGTGCCTTGCTTTTTGAGGGACCTAGAAGCCAGCAGACTTGTTTGTCTCGCTTTTCAAGTGGTCACTTGAGGCGTCTCTCGTATGTTCAGGGGCAAAAGACTTTTGGACTTTGCACTAAATGTAGGACTGCTCAGGCTTCCCCCGAGCATATTCTAATCTGTATCGATATTAAGATCGACGAGGTTTTTTCAAAACCTCATCTGTTTTTAGACTTCCTGGACATTTTTGGACTTATGAAATTGGTCTAATTGGGATGGACCTCTTGGGGATTAGAAACAACAACAACACATATTTTAAATTAATAGCTACCAGAATTATGTTTATTTATTTTTTACCAGAAAGATCATTATCGTACAGTACGGTAATTGTACCAGAATTTTTTTCGCCGTGCACTCATCTTACCCTAAATATTATTAAGTCAGCACAACATGCTCATTACTTTTGTAGAAAACTAATAAGCAATGCTGAACACTAAATTAAGATTCATCTCGAAAACGATAACAAAAATAAAAACATTTAGCGGGCATTAAGCGGAAGCTAAAGAAAGAGAAAGTACTTGAAATCAAGACACCTTCAAAATAATATTCCTGCTGGTCTTCCTTCAGTGACTTACAGATTAGTGCTTTCTTGAAACAATAGTAAGGAAGTTAAATGTAGCGATCAATTTTACCAATTATGTTTACAAGAGAAGGAAAGAATCAACATACTCGTTGAAATAGTAGAAGGTCACTTTGCACTTACCTAGTCTAAAACTTAAAATTCTATTCTAAAGTTCTTAGAAAGAAATTAACTAATCTAACCATACATCATATTGCATCAGAAATTGAGCTTCTAAATTGTATTGTTTAAGATAAGATAAATATGGACATATTTTGCAATATTTTGAAATTTATGTTAAATGATGTAGTCGTTATTTTTTTCATATTTTCCTGCCAGGGATTACGACAATAATTTGTTAATAATTGACTCAAATTTAAAACTAATTGAATATTTGATTAAAATCTAGACGTTGTAATTTAATGTTTATTTCTCTTTTTTGTTATAATGAATTCTAGTTTTTTGCTGCAATCGATGTATTTGTGAACGTGTAAATAGTGTAAATAATTATATGTTAAAAAAGGGACTAATGCTCAAATTTATTAAAGGGAAAATTACAGGTTATTTTTTGAAACTTTCCTGTTAAGGGTTATGGCAATAATTTTTTTTGATGATGGATTTGAGTTTAAAACTAATTTAATATTTGATTAAAGCTTAGACATTGAACTTTACTATTTCTTTCTTACTTTGTCATGCTCAATAATTGTTTTAAACTGCATCCGAAGCGTATGACTAGAGTAAATAATTTGTAAGTAAAAAAAGGACTAGTGCTCTTGATGGCCAGTGAGGTGACCAGATCTTAATACAATCGAAAACTTATGGCAACCTCTTGCCCGAGAAGTATATAATTTTTTAAACCTGAGAAGTTTATGAAAATTGCTCACAATATCTATATAAACAAGATCTTGTCTTCGCTATCAAAGAAGTTTGTGAAAAAATTTCCATGGACAATTTAAAAGATTTTTCCGGATCCATGATCACTCGGCTTATTTAAGTGATTGGAAAAAAGGTAGTTTTTTATTATTGACAAAATTTTAAGTATTTTAAGACATGTCCCTATTTTTTCCCTCCATATTTCCATTAGTTTCAATTTCTGTAAAATTCATATTTTAAAACCAAATTTTATTTTTGTGCGCTTTAAGTGTTATTACAAAATTATGTAACGCAAGTCAAACATATAAAAACTTCATTTAGATGAATTGAAAATAAAGCATATTTTTATTCGATTTGATGTTGTCCTTATACTTTTCTCACGCAATGCATCAAAAGATTATATTTATGTATAAAATGTTTAAATTGTTGCCATTGAATATTAATATATTTATTATTATTGCATATTGAAGTATCCTCCTTAGAAAGATCTTAATGTTGTTTAAAACTGAAAAAGTAAAAATCTAAAGACTTAGCGGAAATGTCTAAATATACTTAGAATTTACATTAAAAATATTGTTATTTTAGTAAAAAGTAAGATTTTGTAAATTTATCTTTAATATTTCTTGTAAGAATTTTAGTGAAACCAGTCGGATACTTAGAATAAACAATGATCTTTGAAAGAATACTTCAATACGTATATGAATTGCAACACACTCAATTCCTAATATCTGAATACTTCGTAGTATTAAATACAATTTAGTTTTTGTAAGAAAAGAATTTCTGAATAATTCAAATCATTTTAGCAATGTATAAATAATAAAAAAATTCTTCATTATTCCAATATTTTTTTAAAAATTCTATTCAATTTCTCAAGTGCATTGTCATAGACTAGAGGTAAGAAATAAATAGGCTCACAAAGGACAATTTGCGTAAGTTACTTCGTTGATTATTTTTAAACGTAATACTAAAACGTAAGGAGAAATAATTAGAGCTTTGACATATAAATTTTTATATTAATGAAATTTTTAAAAATAGAGTTTTGTTTCAAAATGTATTTTTTGGACCGAAATCTTGACCTTACGTATTTGGATTCCTGACTAACCTTATTCTTAATTTAAACATATTCCTTACTTAATTTATTTTTGTGTCTAACATTTTCTTAGATAAAAAGAATATAAAAAAATCTCATACTAAATGCAACACTATTTTTTATCACGATACCGAGCACAGTATAATGTCTGTTTTATTTTAAAATATTGCCAATTAGAAATTTAAGTTACATCTATCTTGGAAATTACTTGAATGAAATAAATATATGTGTCTTAGGAGAACATGATACCAGCCAGAGATTTTGATACTTAATTTAATGGTAGACTAAGTACATATTAATACAACTAGTACTATTTTTAGATTTTAGTTATTTTTTCATGGTTTTTAGATTTTTACGCATTTTCCTTTAATACAGAATTTGCAGAATATTTTAAATTTATATAAATTGAAATATAAAATTTATTTTTCTTTTGATACTTAACTATTTTTTTAAGAAAGTATATTTTATTCTAAAATAAAAAAATATGATGTAATTATTGCACTTGTATGAAATATTTTCCTTTATCTGGAATAAAATAAAATTAGTATGTAGTAAAAGCATTATTTTATGATCTACCTTTCAAATGATTAAAAAAGTTGTAAATGAAAATTGAGATGTTCGTCGAAGAAAATCTAATTTTGCAGCTTAATAATGTGGCGAAATTAAATTGATATTTTTTTATGGATAATTTTGTCGTACAAGTTATGCAATTATGATTTGAAATAAAATGAATTATGGATTATTGAAGCAAAACGCATGGTAATATCTAAAGAATTTATTTAGTACAACAGTGGTTGATTGTCCAAAGTAAATAACATTCGGGTTTAATGCCATGTAAATTGAATACAGATATACACAAAAATAAATGCGTGTGCATCAAATGAAGTTTATAATAATTTCAACCCCATCAAATTTTAATAATTTTTATTGCGTGGTTCAAGGTTATAATTAGCTATCACTAAATGCAGAGTTGTGAAACTACACAGTAAATACTCTCTATAACAAAAAAAAAAATCGATGTACCAAGAAGGAGTTGTCCGATTGAAACGAAAATTGGTGGATAGGAAGACAATAGTGAATGATTAAAATTTCAAAACAATTGAATAATTTATTGCAGAGTTACAGTAACAAGTTCAATAAGGTGTTGACCCTCAATTAAATTATTTNGTATTTCCTGCCAAATTCGATCCAATTGTCGAACGAGGTCATCAACATTCCGTGCCATATGCAATCGCCTTCCCATCATATCCCAGACATGTTCGATGGGAGAGAAATCTGGTGATCTGGCAGGCCAAGGAAGAGTTAGACAAGCTTGCAGACAGTTCATAGAAACACGTGCCGTATGTGGTCTGGCATTGTCCTGCTGAAAAACCAGCCCAGGGAGCTGCAAAAGGAACGGTAGCTTAGGATGTCGTTGACGTACCGCTGTGCAGTAAGTGTACCTCTAATGACGACCAAAGAGGTCCGGCTGTCAAAGGAAATGGCACCCCAGACCATAATGCCCTGTTGAGGGCCGGTGTGGCGTGCAATAGTGAAGGCATGATCCCCCCTCTGCCCTGTGCGTCTCCAAACACGTCTTCGATGATCGTCAGGACACAGTTGGAAGCGGGATTCGTCGCTAAAGACTATACGTCCCCAGTCGGCATCATTCCAGCCCGATCGAGCCATGCACCACTGTAATCTGGCACCAAGAAGCAATCGGATGATTGCTTCTTAGTGCGTTGATTTTTTTGTTATAGAGTGTAAATTTCTGATCAAATTATGGTAAAAAGTACTGGTACTTTTTTCATCATTCTAAAATTAATTTTACCATAAAATTTTATTATATCGTAATTTTTACAGTATTTATTTAATAAGAGCGATTTTGTGATTTTACTATAATTATTACTGTAAAAATTATGATATACCAAATTATTTGCGTGTTGCGGTAAAAATGGATTTTACGTTAAAAAGTACCAGTACCCTGAGAGCCGGTACTTCTTAACGTAATTTGATCCGGAATTTTTTTACTATATCTATACTTACTATATCTAAATATAGTCGTAACTAATTAGTAAAAAAACATAAAAATCTTTGATAACTAATAAATTTAACATAATGATGTATTTAAGAAAATGTCAATTGATTTGAGTTATTAAAATTGTTTTTATTGAATATTAATGTCATAATTATGACTGATTCTTTATTGTTTAAATAACCTCAATGAATTAAAAAGAATTAATAAAATATTTATTTGCAGTTAGCAATCGTTAATAATTTCTTTTGAATTAAATAATTCACTAGAATTAACGATACCTGTCTCTTCAATGCAATTTCATTGTTATAACAGATATCTGTAGGATTCGAATCAGCTCAACGTATTTATTAAATGGTCAACTTTATCCCTAAGCATTATCCTTTCTTATAAAAATAAACGTT